TTAACATCAGCATACACAGGAAAACTGGTCACTCAACAATTCTTTTTTGCAGTACCAGCATTAGCAATGTCAATCTTAACCTAGTTTCTTCCCTAACTGGAATTCAAGATAAAATAGTCTTACCCAATTTATTCAGTCAAAAAAAATAACCAACTACTGGTAAATGCAGGCAGTCTCTCTACCATGGCTTTCTGGTATGATAGTATATAAACAACCTTCATTACACTAATATATATTATTATTTACTAGATTGAATACTGTCTCTTACAACAGTAACTAAGATTGACCAATGCTAGGCAAAAGTCTAGTAGCACCCAAATCAATATTACCCTGTGAGTATTCAATAATGTATAATGTCTGATAGTGAATTGCTCTTCTCTACATCAATACAGATGTGCCAAAAATAGAAAAATAATGGAGATATTTACATGCAAAAAATATTAAAACATACCCTTCTTTCACCCTAGCATTACAAAGCAAACCAATGGGAACGAAACACAAGGCCTCATGGTAGTATCTTTAGTGGCGTTATAGACACGAAGTGCATTAGGAACGGCTATAATCCTTCAGTGGAGCCAGATTAATTTTCTTTTTAAGGTACTAAAAGAGGATATACCTTTTCACTGATTTTAAGGGATACCTGATTCTTGTGGTTGTGACTTTCTGTGGCAATGTGCACGACTGGGGTTCCATTCCCAGAAGCCCTACGTTTATAGACATTAGGCCCTATTTTGGAGGAGTCTCTCAGGATCAGTCTTTCTCCCTTAAGCCATGTGCAAAGGGTCATGAGAAAATCCCAAACAACTTCTAGTGTCCGGAGCTTAAGGCACAAACTTTCTGATCACAAGTGAAAGCACTGCTCTCATTAAAGAGATCATGAGTATAATGAAAATACAAAAACAGATGCTATGATATTCATTAGATTAATGTTACACAGGATGTGGAAGTTAATATAGAGACAATGATGGTCAAAGTACTTCTTTTCTATATAGAAGGAATTAGAGGTCATAGTGCCTAAAAATCTATATAATACTTGTATATGGGTGTTTACTGTTACATACCTAGCACACTTAAAAACTATTTTGGACTAACTGGGGAGTAATATCTATGCTGATATAATAACATATCTATGCTGACATAACAACATACCTATTTTGAGTAAGAAGAAAGGGGGTTAGGAAAAATTAGGTATTTCTAAATAAATGCAGCATAACTAATTTACATACACATAGTGCAACTGATGAAATTTTGTCTTTTTATAAAATCGTAAGATTTTATAAAAAATCTTATGAAGGTTTAGGAATAATAACCATTTAGCTTCTTATATAAGTAGCTATTGCGAAAATGCTTTAAAAGGTCAAACTTTATTTGTACTAATTACTTGCTTACCATGAAAAGGTAAACATTAACCTAAGGGTACCTGCTGTACCACAAATTCTAGATTAATGAAGTATTACTTTCTCCCTTTGGCAAGATCAAAGTTGACTGTTAAGAAAGTCCTACTACTTGCTGACTTATCATTATGGACGGATGTGAATAATCTCCCAACACAAAATGAACAGATTTGGTGACAAAGGATTTCAGATGGTAGTCAGTGGGCCACTTAAAAACTTACTTTTAAAACAATTCACTATTACTTTATTGGGCTTTCCTGGGTCTCCCTAAGAGTCTGGTAACTCCCTTTCCTTGCCCTCTGTGGCTTTTAAAGACTTCTTTCATTTAATACTTCTGCAATCAGCCTTTACCTCCTCTCCTTTCGTTTAAAATTGGTATTTACAATGTCTGATAGAATTGGTCTGCAGTATCACCCTGTACTAGTATGGCTGTCTTTTATTTTCTCTAACTTGAGGTACTGTTTAAAATGCAAGTCTACTTTTAAATCTGGCAAATATCAGGAATTTTGTAACAAGAGATACCTCTGGCACACATTTAGAAGTAAAATATGATCACCCTCAGATATACCTACACAACTCAAATACAGGTAATACTCAGAGTCCTTGCAAGTTTGCCCTGAGCTCAGCTAATCCCTGGCACCAAAAAGCAAAATGTTATTAGCTTATCTTCCTATTTCATAAAATCTTAGGACTACTTCACCAACACAGTTTCATGACACACAGAAATGGATTCGTAGAATAAAGATTCTAAGAATCTGTACTCTACCATCCCAATTTCAAATTTAGTATTGAAAAATCCCATTCTAAAAATATTAATGCTTTGGTCCACCCACATGAGTTTTATCTACAGAAGTTTCAGTCACAAAAACTATCCAAGTGGAGCATTATAAAAATCTTATTTCATTATGAAAATTAAGACTTTGCAGTTTTTGTAAATCACTAAAAAAAAAAGAAAAAATTATGTAGTTTAAACACAAACATGACATTAACAACTAAAGAGCTAGGCTATCATTTTAAATATATACTCCATGGTTTGAAGCTCATTATCTGGTTTCCGTAATATCAGGTCCCATATATCTTACCTTCTGGTTAATTTTTTTGATCATGAGTTATGAAAAGAGGGAAGGCAGAAAAAAGAATCAGGGAAAATCTTAGAAATTATTAGCAGCTCTTGTAAAAGGTTAGATCAAAGGTCAAAAAAAAATAATGAAATTAACACCTAATATGTAGATTTCATTAAAAGTCACCAAAGATGGCTGCACACTGATTGTAGATTTTCAACTGTTCATACAGAGAATTATAACAAATATTTTGTTGCAAAACAGTATGGCAAAAATCTATATTGTATAATAAAGGCTAAAAAAAAAACTGTTTCTGGTTGAACCCATCTATGCCTACAATTGTATACCTTCTTTCAAGGAAGCTGGAAAGGGCTATATAAGGTTAAGCACTATATTTACATACTTAACTCAAGGACTAACTCTTAGGAGACTACCCAAGACATTACTCAGGTCCAGCTGGTAGACAGCTGGGAAGCAGAGGCATTTAAATCAGAAAACTTTTCATATCAATTTGGGTATTTTTCTATGAATACATTATTTTCTATGAAAATATTTTATGTTTCTTAACTAAGTCACCCACTTCTAAAACATTTTGGGCTTATCAATTAAGCACTGCCTAAGTCACCTTTAAGGAGCTCTGGTGGGGCAGCCCCTAAGGCATTTGACTGCTAACCAGAAGTTTGGCAGTTCAAACTCACCAGCCACTCCACGGAAGGAAGATGGGCAATCTACTTCTGTAAAGATTTACTGCCTCGGAAACCCAATGGGAGTTGCTATGAGTTGGAATCGACTTGATGGCAGTGAATTTGTTTTTTCTGACGTCATCTTTACCTTTCATATTTTGTAGTGTGCAGCTTGCTGTGGCTCAAATAAAGAGCCCAGGTGGCACAGTGGTTAAGTGTTCAGCTGCTAACTGAAAGGTCAGTTGTTCAAATCCACCAGCTGCTCCCTGGGAGAAAGATGTGACAGTCTGTTTCCATAAGGATTTACAGCCTTGAAAATCTTATGGGGCAGTTCTACTCTGTGCTACAGGACCACTATGAGTCAGAATCAACTCAAAGGCAGTGGGCTGGGGTTTGGTAGCTCAAATGGGAAGTAAACAAAGTAGACTTACTTTTTATTTCTTCCAATTTATGATACAATTACTCATGTACTACTTTGCTAGGAATTAGAAACATACTGGATTACTTCTACAGACAAAGATGATTTCTAAATCAAAACAATAAACAATCTTACTGTATTATATAACAAAGTGAAAGGGTCACACTATAGCAGCGCTTCACAACTGCAGTTCATGAAACTCTTGTGATGTTTCATGAATTAACAAACTATTCTACATTGTTTTCTTCTAAAATAAAAATGATAAATATGTGAAAAAATACCTAAGACAAGTATATATCACTATTATATAACAATCTAGATATATGTAATCCAGACATATGGGCAATACAAATGGTGTGCCCAATCATGAATGCCAGGAAGTCAGAGAAGAGGTCACCTGATATACTAATCCATGTCTGACCTGCACATTATAGCATAAGCAATATTTACCAACAAACCATTGTTATTATATGCTGATTGTCTAATGATTGCTAGTCTGTGTTGTGTATTTCACAATACCAACTTACAGTTGTATTGTGATTCAATTTTTGTTGCATATTAAACTATTAATATCTGGTCATTTCTTACAGCAATCTGTGAAACTATTTTTCTGCTATACAATAAAGTACACAATATTTTTAGTCAAGTTTTTTTTTTTTTTTATATTTCATCAATGTAATATTTTCAGCCAGTATTCCACGGTTAAAACTAGTTTTAGAAACTGTTCTATTTTATATAAACAAACTGACTCCTGCTCCCAATTTTATTTGGTTAGTTGTATTAGTTTAGTTATAACTAAATTAATAGTTGTATTAGAAAGTTACAGTGCAGTATATAGACAAAGGCAAGAGTCACAGGTGACTTAAAAAAATTTAAAATTCATTCTCTCTCTCATTTAAGGCCAGACTGTAAGAGATTTCATCACTCACATCCCCTATTTTTCTGTAGAAAACTAGTATTCTGTCTTATGATGAACAGCTTGATCAAGACTATGGCCTCCCATTAAGTGTCAAAGTGATCTCACTGAAGGGGATTCACTTTGTAATTAAACAAAAAAACGAAGCTAAGGTACCATGAGCTCAGATGTCAGATACAGAGTTGTTTACCTAGTTCTGATAAAGCATATTTTAAAGTGGTCTGTATAGTATAATCAGGTTATAGACAGCTCTAGCATTATTTCTTGAATAAGATTCTATATCCTCATTAGGATTAAGGCACTATACTAACAGCCATTGCTGTTAGTTACATTAGGGTAATAACCACCATGTAAAACAAAGGAGCAGAACTGAAGAGTGGTAGTAGTATTCCACACACAGTTATATTCCCTACTTTACCAAAGTTAGTAGGTCAGGAAGGTGTAAGCCCTGTGTAACCAGTTTATCTGAATAGTGCTACAATTTAGAAATACAGGCAATATAAAAAGGGAGGTGTCCACTCCTCTTTAAGACAATTTTCAACCTAAACCCAAGGCCAACTCTGGTAATAGTAACAGCTCTCATAGTTTCTTTCTTCATCTCAACTGCCACAAGTCATGGTTTATTACAGTACTGATCTTCAGAATGTATCATTCATTCTGCTGGGTGATTCATGCAAAACTTGAGTGAAAACTGCAAATAATTAGCCAAATTTGAAATTGCCATTCAGAGTAAATTATATTCAAAGAATCCAAATATGCAACTGGATTTGTTCCTGCTGAGGAATAAATGAAACACAAAATCTTTCACATCATCTCCAATACTTATGTAGATATTCAAGATGAAAATGTGTTGAGGTTCTAGTGAACTTCAAACTATTTCTTCTCTAACCACCTTTTCAGCACAGTCTTTTAGTGTTTCACACCACACTGCGTTCTTTTCAACCAAGGAGAACTTTCTGCATTCTGTGCGCAGCAACACTGGCTTCATCTTCTGAGTCTGATTCACTCTGGGATGTGGAGCTGTGAGAGGCAGAACTGCAAGGGGAAGAGCATTCTGGGGAACACAAGTAATGCATCAGTGGGAGGCGGTACTTCCCACAGAAGTCCACAAATTTAATTTGTCTAACACAGCAGTCAAAGTAGACTCCTGGAGAGAAGAAGGAATACAAAGTAAAGTAATCATTACAAAGCAAAAAGAACCAGTTTCTTTTTCAACCCTTTCCCCAGGATTCTTGAGAAACGGGACATACACTCTCCTCTATTGTAAATCTTAGGCTAAGTAATCTTAGGCTTCTATAGCAATATTGTAAGGTCTTAGAGGTGGCAGTTTGGCTTCAAACATGAAACTAAGGGATTGTTTTAAAAGGAGCTGGCACAGAAAGCATATTGTTTATTTAGCTAGTTTTCTCTGGGTAACCTGAGGGGCAGTGGCTCATGGAGCTTGTAGGATATCTAACGTGCCCTTTTTTTATACCCCAAGCTACCCCTTGTAACCACTCTATAGTCGGGGGGGCTTAAAAGAAAACTCGATTAGTAGTAATCTTAACCAAGAATTAGTTATTATACTCTTACAGAAAGGGGTTAGCTTTCTGTAAGTATCCCTGTTTCTTACATCTGCATAAACTCCTTATCTATAGTTCCAAAGCTGTTTCACAAATGGTCTCACTTGACTCTCACACAATTATATACAAAAATGAGTATTTCGCTCTTTTGATTCCTAATTCCATACTCCTGTGCTGTTTGGCCCTTCTGCTCAGCATTTCTCAGTCTTTCAGAGGCCTATGACACAGGAAATCTTATCAGATTACCTGGAACTCTTGGAAATGGGTGACAGGAAGTAGGCTGGAGCTTAGGACACCTATCTTAAATACTAAAGCCAGGCTGATTTGATCAGGAAACAAACTAACCCCAAAAACAATTTCTAATAATGAAAATAATTTCTGTGCACTGTGACTTAAAAGGCTATTTTCCATTTTAGTGTGTACTGGGACCCTTCTGCTCTTAAGGGCCTCTGGAGTATGGCAAAAAGATGTTAATAGGGGTGGGGAAATACACTGAGGCCGATTCAACACACACCAGACTCTCACTACACATTGACTGATTTATTGAGTTCAACTATCCATGAAAAGAGACATTTGGACATGTAGTACATGACAATGAAGCTAAGTCATTAGCTTAGGGAAACGTGTTGCTGTGCCTGTGTTCTAGCTAACCCTTAGAAACATACTACACATTCGAACACACACAAGCTCACAACTGTTGCAGTGTAACTAGAACATCTAGAACTATGGGTCTCATTGTCAGTCTGGGGAGGAATTTCAACCTCTATACTTAACCTAAGTTTCCTCTAGCACATCTACTCTGTGTGTAGCACACAAGGCACCAAAGTAAAAAGATGCTGTATAAAAAAAAGGAGAAACAATATTTTCTTTTTTTTTTCCTGATACCTCCCCACTAAGCTTATAGTAAAGCTAAACCAAATCAAACCCACTGCCATCGAGTTGATTCCGACTCAAAGCGATCCTGAAGGACAGAGCAGACCTGCCCTATAGGGTTTCCCAGGCTGTCAGTCTTTATGGAAGCAGACTGCTTCATCTTTCTCCTCCAGAGCAGCTGGTGGGTTCAAACTGCCGACCTAATGGTTAGCAGCCCAACACTTTAAGCACTGCAAGTAAATCCTGCAGTAAATAAGCATAACTCATAGTTTAAAAAAGGGAAATTCATGGTATGTTTCCCTGGTTTGCTGCTAGCTAACTGAGTCCACCCAGAGGCACCTTGGAAGAAAGATCTGGTGATCTACTTCCAAAAAGTCAGTCACTGAAAGCTTTATGGAGCCAAGTTCTAGTCTGACACACACAGGGTCATCATGAGTTGGAACTGAAGCAAGACAACTGTGTGTAGTTGTTTTTAAAGAAGAGAAAAGATTTAGACCATTAAGCATGAAATCCTGGTGTGAATTCCCTTGCCACTGTTAAAGCCAAGGTAACAAAGAACCACAGAGAAAAGCTCAAGTACTTGTAATTTGGTACAGCTCAACAAATTTGCTTCTAATTTTAAGAGTGCTCACAAATGGCCAAGAGCATTGTTCTTTTTCCTTTTTAAGTCAATAGGGTCTTTTTTGTGTTTTTGTATTCTTTGAGGAATTTAATCATTTTCTCCCTTTTTAACCTTCTAACCATCTCAAGACAGGATGATATTTCCAAGGGAAGTATCATTTGGTTCTAATCATCACTATGCAGCATGTGCTCAGCCCCTACATTTAAAGGTAAACATTTCTGAATCCTTATTAAACTGATGTATATATATATATATATATATATCATACACACACACACACACACACACACACACGTCTTTTAGTAGTATTCTATGAAGGAACCAAAATAAAAATACCTGACATCAGTCTGACCAATTCCCACTCCCATACCCTGGCACTCCAAGCTCTTCACAACTCGGCCTCAAGGTACCTTTTCATTCTTGTCTCTCATGACTCCCCGAACTGTACATATGAGTCAAACTATTATACCCCCAACATTCTGCCTATACTATTCTGCCCCTACTTTGCTCTTTCCCTCTAAAAGTTCCTTATCCTCAATCTTACCCTATCAAAATCCAAGTCATCTCTCAAGGCATACTTCAAGAATCATCTCATCTTTTTCAGATTTAATTATATATACTGGGCATTCAGAAGAGCATAAAGTTCCAGGGTACCTCCTGAAATAAATACCCACTCAGCCTATTTTCATACGTCTTGAATCATTCTCTATAAAGGTACCTAATGCAAAAGAATGGTGAGTTTAGGAAAATGTTTTTCAAATAAATATGGAAGTTTTCCAAACACCTGAGCCCCTTTTAAAAATAATTAGGATAGTTCCCATTTTCTCTGTATGTCCTCTCATTTTACTATTTTACTTTACTATCTCATGAGAGTTTCAAGACAAGATGGGACGTTTTACGCATTCTTCCTTGTGTTTGAGTCCTAAATTATTAATGGAAAAAATTAAAAAAAAAAAAAAAAAGCCACAGAGGGTAAAATATCTTACTTTGTGGCAAAAGGCTGACAAAATGAAGGAAAGAAAAACAGGGACTAAATGCCTTTGTCTGAGAGAAGACTTACTAATTAAAACAATACTTAGATCATCTAGTGTAAAAAAAAAAAAAAGAGCTAAATGTGTACAAAATATGAATCATGAACTTACTTACCTCCACATTTTGGGTTTGGGCAATTGCTGGCTAAACTCAAGTATCTGAGAAGATTTCCAGGAAGATCATAGGGAGTGTAGGAAATGTTTCGGGTTTTAATAGTCCGTGCAGCTAACTCCAGGAGAGTTGGAGGATCATAGGTTAAATCTCTAACAAAACGAACCACCAATGGGTTTCCTCGCAAACTCAACTCTTCCAACTGAATAAGGTTGAGGATTTCTCGAGGCAGGTATGTCAGCAAATTATTGTGAAGACTTAGGGAACGAAGCGAATGTAACCTGGAATGAATGCAGTGCAAAAATCAATGGCAGTAAGCAACATAATTATCAAGAAAGTTAAATATTTTTCTTTAGAAATCCAAATATATATGTGTGTGTTTATATATATAAACATACACAAATACATGTATGTATATATGTAAAGAGCTTGATTTCCCCATGAGAATGAGAAATTAAGATGAAGGTCAATGGAAGTAAAATGAGAAGATACTATAACTAGACCAGAATGCATATCTGGACTTTTGCCCATGGACTCTTCCAAAAAAACAAACCAAATCTCTTATGCTCAAATTGTTTCTAACTTTTAGTGACCCTATAAAAGAGAGCAGAACTGCTCCATAGGGTTTCCAAGGCTATAAATCTTTACAGAAGCAGACTGACACATCTCTCTCCTGTGGAGCAGCTGGTGGGTTCAAACTGCTGACCTTTCAGTTGGCAGCTGAGTGCTTTAACCAGTGCACCACCAGGGCTCCTTATCGAATCTTAGAGAGGTGGATCTAGGTACTCCTAGATATTGTACCCCACTGTCTTCAAGTTGATTTCATCTCATAAAGACTCTATGGGACAGAGTGGAACTTCCCCGTGGAGTTTCCTAGGCTGTAAATCTTTATGGAAGCAGATTGCCACATCTTTACCTAATGGAGTAGTTGGTGGGTTCAAACCACTGACTTAATCAGTGTGCCACCAGGGCTCTAAATGAAAAGATTTCAAATGCAACATAAATCAAGATCCTTTACATTATAAAGCCTAATTAGGATAGGATGCTTAATATCATATACAAAAGCATTAAAAGCCACATACGACTAGGGTGATCAATGCCAAATTTATGCTCTAATTTTGAACATATATTTCGAGGGCTAAACCAGAACATTCAAAAACAGTATTAAAAATAAGCAATCTAACTTCACAGGAAACCTTACAACTATAATTCTCATTTATCACCTACTTTGAAAATACTTACTTCTTTTCTACAGGTAAAACGTGGGTGACTGCAGGATTTAATTCCTAGGTGTAGATTTCTACATATACATAAACTGACTGAAAACTACTCACTGTGAAAGCTGAGGAGGCACACTTTGGATTTTGTTGTCACATAATACCAAGTAATTTAGAGAAGGCAGATTTGCTAATTCGGGGGGTATTTCTTTGATGAAATTTCCTCCAAGATATAAACACTCTAAACTGCAAAAAATAAAAGAACAAAAGAAAAATAAAAAAGTAAATAAAATAAAAGGTTCAGAAAATACTCCATTATCTCTACTACAATGAACACATTTCATCTATTCATTCAGCAACTGTTTTACTTAGAATTTGCTATGTGATAATCAGATTCTAGAGAAATAATGCAATCTTCAGGGACCTTATTCTGTATCTAAGCAGACAAGACACACTAATGTTAGACAACATCATAGTTAAACACAAAGCAAGGCCAAAAATAAGCATGACAGCATTAAAACATAGGAACAAGCAGAACAATCCATTAAATGATATGAGCTGAAAATAAGAAAAGACCAGACTAGTTCTGATTTGGGAAAGGCTTTCCAAAAACTGTTGTGACTTCAACTGGGCTTTGAAGTAAGCACATTTTGATGAGAGGTAAGAGGACACTTCAGATTGAAGGACAGGGTTTTTATGGGGCAATGAATACACCTTCTAATAGAAAAAAAAAATTCAAGTTGAGGAACCCAGACACAAAACTGAGAGAGGCCAGATTACAGGAACCATGAATTTCTGTCAGTTTATTATACTGTAGTGGTTTGCATGTTGCTATGATGCTGAAAACTATGCCACTGGTATTTCAAATACCAGCAGGTTCACTCATGGTGGACAGGTTTCAGTGGAGTTTCTAGGCTAAGACTAGGAAGAAAGATCCGGTGGTCTACTTCTGAAAAATCAGCCAATGAAAACCCTATGGATCACAGCATATTGTCCAAGACTTCAGCTTATTTACTTTGGATAATTCATCAGGATGATTCAATCGCAGGAGAAGGATATCATGTTTGGTAAAGCGGAGGGTCAGTCAAGGTGAGGGACACTCTCCATGACATGGAATGACACAATGGCTGCAAAATGGAATCAAAAATACCAATGATCATGAAGAGGCCACAGGACCAGGCAACATTTCATTGTGCTACATACATGGGGTCCCCATGACTCAGAGTCTACTTGACAGCACCTAACAAGAACAACTTGCTTGGATTTGATGTACTTACTAAGCAATGGGGAAACCGGAAGCCTTTTTTGGGAGAGTAGAAAATATGTCTGGACTTGTGTTTTCTATTACCATGGTATAGCACAATATAGTTTTCCTTTCTGTTGTACTCATCAAGTTTCCTTTTGTTCCATCTCCCTCTAACAATTTTGAATTGTGTACGCTATTTCTAGTTTGCTAGTAGTTACACCTTTAGTTCCCTTTCCTTTCCCTCTTACTCCCAAACATACCCAAACTACCTTCTCTCTCCTTCTCTTCATATTATCTTCCAGAATTAGTCTACCCTGATTTGAAAATAAGCTTAAATATGTTTATTTCCAATCTATGATTATTCAGATTCATCAGTATGTTTTGCTGATTTCTTTGCTCACCACTGTTCTGGCAGCTTGCCATTTCTTTTAAAGTTTATTTTTCTTCTTGGAGTACATCCTTTAGAAATTCTTTCAGCAAGGACTCATGGTAATCTTCGAGTCCTTTGTCTCAATTTTTATTTTCCCTCACTTTTAAATAATAGTTTGGCTGGGCATAAAATTCTAGGTTGACAGTTATTTTTCCTGAGCACTGAGAAGATACTACTTCTTTATCTCCACTATGCAGTATTATTTGTAGGTTTTCTTTTTTCTCTCTCTCCTTAGGTGTTTTTATGATTTTCTATTTAATTATCACTGTTCTGAAGTTTTACTATATAATGTGTCATGATATCATTTTATTTTTGTTTATTCCTCAGTATTTAGAGATCTCTCTTTAGTTGTGGGAAATTCTCCACCACCAATACTCTTTAAACAGGAGCTCTGGCAGCATAGTGCCTAAGGCACTCGACTGCTAACCAAAAGGCTCGTGGTTCAAATCCACCAGCCACTACTCAGAAGGAAGGCTGGGCAATCTACTTCCATAGTGATACCGCCTTGGAAACCCAAGGGAGGGGTCTCTATGAGTCGGGTCCAACTTGATGGCACATAATTTAAACACTGCTTCTCCTACATTCTCTCTATTCTCTAAAATTTGTTAGACAGCAGTTTGAACTTCTGGATCTATCTTCCATGTCTCTTGACATTTCTTTCATATTTTCCATTTCTTTATCCTTGTGCTGTACTCCAGGAGAATGACTCAGTGAGATCATTCATCTTACTGATTCACTCTTCACCTGGCTTCAGTCTACCATTGAGTCCATTTAGTGAGTTTCTAATTATATATTTTCATTCTGAGATTTCTAATTGGGGATTTCATAATCGTTTTTTAACTTCCAATTCTTGTTTCATTGGTGAAATTCCTTCCTTTACCTCTCTGTACTCAGGTAATATGCTTATTTAAATCCTTTTCAGATTACCTTATCATATACATTTCCTCAGGTACAATTTCTTTCATTTGCTGAATTTCTTGTGTGGCTATCATAATCTGTCTTTCTTCAACATGTGGTGATTCAAGAGGCCAGTTTGAATCTGAAGTTTTATTATTTTCAAAATAGACTAATGATATTTTTTTTCTATTCCTGATTGTGAAAGCCTTTCAAGATTACATTTCTCTCCTTAGATATACAATGTTTAGTAAAAGTAAGCAGACAATTTTAATTTTGGTATATTATTTGTTCTTTCAAAGGTAGAAAAAATCAATTTTCTGGTTACAAGACTAAATTCTCCTATATATAAGTGCTTAAGCACTGGTGTAAAAGGTTCCTAGGTAGGGTTCTGTGACTCTATTGACCATGGCATAAGTTCAATAAGGTCAACATCATCAGTTAGTACGCACTTACTCAGAAATCCTGTTTTACAATGATGAGTTACTGGAAGAGAATACAATATTATAAGTCTAGTATTATGAGTCTAAATAACAGAAACTACTTTGGAAAAGGAACTAAGTGAAGATGACTCGAAGCACTTACCAATGAAGATTAAAGACTACAGTCTGCAGTATGGATTACACCTCAACATAAAGAAAACAAGAATCCTCACAACTTAACCAATAAGCAGCATCACAATAAATGGAGAAAAATTATAGCTAGCTAAAAGGATTAAAGTGAGACATGTCTTCTTCTGTCAGTGCTTTGAGACTGGAGGGTAGAGAAACAGAAAACCAAAAAAGCAAACTCTCTGCTGTCAAGTCAAACCTGACTCATAGTATTGGTTTTGGTTTATATACTTATACATGTGTGTGTCTCTGATTTTGCTCCTCTAGAGAACCTAGTCTAAGACAGTTCCTCTGGAGTAAATGAGGCTAGCATTGTGAGCTACAGATTGTGGATTTAGACTCTTTCCATCAAAATATAAGGTTTTCCTTCAGCAAGTGAATATAATAACCATTTAACTGATTTAGAGTTGTATTTGTTATTATAATCTTAGAAAAGTAGGTATAGTTTGGGGCTGTCAGCCACCACACCTACCCACTACCATTGAGTTGAATCTGACTCATAGTGACCCCTCCTTGGGTTTCTGAAGCAGTCTCACTACAGAAGTAGATTGCCCAACCTTCCTTCCCAGGAGTGACTAGTGGGTTTGAACTGCCAGCTTTCTGGTTAGCAGTCAAGTGCCTTAGCCACTATGCTATCAGAGCTCCCATGGAGCAGATGGAGGGTTCGAAATGGACCTTCTGTTTACTAGCTGAGCACTTAACCACTACATCACTAGGGTTCCTCACAGGGCACTTTAGAACTATGCATTTGCAGATGCTACTCTAAGAAAATTGTTTTCTTAGAGTAGCATCCTCATATTGAATCGTGTTCAAGTGTTATCACTCACCAGAGCTTTCAAAGTACATTTTATGTTCAAAAGCAGCAGAAGCACAGAGGTACTGTCTCTTGGTATTTGCCCCAAAATAAGCCAACAAAAGATAGAAGGCAAAGGGAAGAGGTTGAGAGCCAGAGAAAAACTAGGCATACGGGTATAAATGGGGAAAAGAGTTTTTATTTAAACCTAAAAAAAAAAAAAAAAAAAAAAAAAACACCCACTGCCATTGGGTCATTGGGTCAATTCTGCCTCACAGTAACTCCCACTGGGTTTCGAAGGCTATAAATCTTTATGGAAGTAGACTGCTTCATCTTCTTCCTATGGCGTGGCTAGTAAGTTTCACTACCTATCTTCTGCTTAGCCACAGCGCCACCAGAGCTCCCATTATTTATCATCTAGTCAAGTCACCTATCTGTTTTCCAAAGATGATAATCTACTGTACATTGATTTCAAAACATTAAGGGCAATACATTTTAACTTTTACTTTGTCAGAATCTTCATATTTCCATTTTCTAAAACAAAGTCAAGCAGTCACTGAGAAAGGAGTCATCAACAGACAGGAGCTCTGGTGGTGTAGTGCCTAAGGCATCTGACGGCTAACCAGAAGGCTGGTGGTTCAAACCCACCAGCCACTCCATGGAAGGAAGATTGGGCAATCTACTTCCATAGAGATAATGCCTCGGAAACCCAAGGAGGGGTCACTATGAGCAGTCAGCAAGAAAGGAGTCATCAACAGAAGGAAGGCATTATTTGAGAAGACAAGACTGTAAGAAGGCATTTCAATGAAATTGACTTGTGCTAAAATCTACTCTTTCACCCAGCCCCTAGAGCCTGGCACTTTGAATTCGGACTTAAAGCCTACAAAATTGTAAGAGAATAAACTGTTTCTTCAAGCCATTTAATTTGTGGTATATTCCTGCAGAGCGGTACTAGGTAACCAGAACAAAGGACAATGACTCAGATGTAGGATTGAGAGAAGGTGAGCTTTGCCAGAATATTCATATATAGTATAGTGGATGTAGGCCATACTCCCAAGAAAACTCCCGTTTCAACTGACTGGCTGCTCACATCAGGTCACAAAATGGAGTGTGATTATATAATATCTGCCAAACAACTGAGAATCATACCCTGGCCAAACTTAACCATCACAGGAACTCTGTTAATCCTGAAAATAAAAATGTAAGCACCTGCTTATTTATGATACTTCAAAAGTTATTTTTCAGAAATGCATTGACCCATTTCACTTTAGT